CGGCGGCATCGGCCGGACGGCGGCGAGTCGGCCCGCGGCCCCCTTCCGGCTGCGGAGGGCAGGTCTCCCGCGGCCCCGCGCCGCTCAGGAACATCCACCTGGGGCTTCCCGCCTGCGGCCCCTCCGGGAGGCTGCGGGTCCCTCAGCGGAGCGCGCGGCACGGCGGCGCGGGGGTTCCAGTTGCTCCTCGCGGGGGCGGAGAGAGGGGGTGGCGGGCTCCCAAAGACTGAAAATCCTCGTCAGGGGCGTTCGGGACTCCGCGGCGTCCGGGGCTGGGCTCGAACCGGCGTCGGCGGGCTGGTCCCGGGGCGCAGGCCTCGGCGGGACCGCGAGGATGAGGCCGCGCTGCGGGTGGGGGAGGGGCGTGGGCGCGAGGCTGGGGGTCCTCCGAGAAGGCGGCGGGCTGCGAGGTCTCAAGTCCCGTGCAGGCCGGGCGCTTTCCACCCCGCGCTCGCTGGGCGCGGGGACGCGGCGATCCGGGGCTCGGGTCCTGCAGGTCCTGCAGGTCAGCCTCTCCCGGGCGGCGCGCACTCGCAGGGCTTCGACCCCGCGCTTCCGCGGCCGAGGCGCCGGCTACGGACGATCTGCGAGATAAGAACACATGATATTTCCTGGCTCTCCGGCGCTCGGACGCCCGCAGCCGCTGCCATGTGCTGCCTGTTGCTGCTCCCGTGATTGACAGGCCGCGCACAGTCAGCGTGTCACCCGCGAACCCAGTAACATGCAGTCCTGCACGTTTTTGCCCGAGTGCTTTGGCCCCTTGGAATGCCGAGGAGCTCGACATCCAAGCAACGCCTCTGCTCATTGGAAATCAATACGCAGAGACGAGAAATTCAGGTTTTTAAAGCATTACTTTGCTAGGGATCCGGTCGCCAACAATACCTAAACAAACACGCATTTGGTACACATGCGGAGAGCCAGCACCTCTTAAGCAAAAATGGCCCTGTGTTTCACACATCCGATCATTTACAGACTTTTTTAAAAACTTGTTACTGTTCGGATAAAGGAAAAAGTGAAAGGGATCTTTTTTTAAAGCGGTAGAATTTAAGAGCATTTAGCTGTGGGAGTGCTGCTGGTGTTTTGAAATGCAACCTGTAACCTTAGCTCTAGAGCGGGTTTAAAGAAATGTTCGGTTCCGTGCAAAAGCAAACATTTCTCACCTTATCATTCCTAAAATATCTACGGAAGGGAAGGAAGGAAACGGTTCTTACCTAATGCAAAGATTGGAAACTGCGTTTCAGGCACATATACAGCCACTGCAGCTGCTCCTTATCCAGGGCATGGGGCTCTGTCTGCCGCTATCACTGCAAACCACTTCGTGCCTTCCAGAGCGATCCCACTCCAGTTCCGCAGCATTTCAGCTCCTGCCACCACCTCCACCTCCACTGCAGGACACGCCTCCAGTGATATCATGTGTCAATCACACGGGCCGCCCGAAAACCTGGAACAGGATTTCCTCAACTGGCATTTGCTTTTTCCTTTACATGTACCAACTTGGAAACGTTACCCTGCACACAGCTTCTAAAAATTAGGGATTGCCTGTAAAAATCCTGCAAATTGCACTTAAGAAAAATGCATTCGAATTTTGTTATTGAGTTCTAATTTAAAGGAATTGGTGGACTTCAACCTTGAGTTAGAATTGTGAAGAATAAAAGATGAAAACATTGTATGCCAAACCATCACTTCTGGTCAAATGGAGGGAAACTGTATTGATCATTTAAAACTTGGAACGCTACCGTTATCCAAAATAAGCTTCAGAGGATGTGCGATCTAAAATGTCCAAAAGTGGCACTCCTTTTTGCAAATGTAATTAAGGATTCATACAGCATAAAGGTGAAATTGTCTGCTCAGAGTTTTCAGATAATGGCTCTATATTGGACTGTAATATAATTTCCCAAATATCAACTATATGAAAAAATCATTCTATTTTGTTATATAGTTGTATAATTTCCCAAAACAAAAACAAGTTTTTAAATAGGCTAAAAGGCAGTTATTTAAAATAGAAATAATTTACCAAGTTTTATAATTCTTAATAAGATATTTCATTGAGTAAAAAACCCTAATAAGTAGGACATTTTCTTTCTGTTTCTTTAAAAACTATAGGATTTTTAATATTTAATACCAAAATCATATAGTTCATGCTGCATGAAGGATTGTTATATGTGAAATATAGGATTCCATAGAGATTTTTAAGGGATACTTAAAAACTAAAAGCATGTAACTGGTAAAAAGAAAACGTTTTTCCTGTTACTACATATCAGGAATAGCATAAACTCTGCCTGCCCTCCCCAAAACACCCTAGAATCTAAATCATATATAGATATTTTTAGTTCAAAGTAATTTTTTTTAAAAAAAGTGATTCTGTATAAGTTATTTTTGCCCCATACTGGCCTTTCAAATGCTTGAACACTTTTAAAAACTCGTGTTCAAAATTGCTTCTAAGAAACCCAGGGCACAGCTGAGAACATCAAGAAGAAAGCGTCACCAGGTAACACTGAAGAAAAACTGATGCCAAGGAGCCCCGCATCCAGCCTTAATAGAAAAAGAATCAAGAGTCTACTTTAAAGTATAACATTGAATTTATACTATAAAATGCATTAAAATTATTTATTTTAAAGCAAGATTCATGTATCATGTTTTTTCATATATCTCATCAGATTTGGAGATGGAATGAAATTTTACCAATGATGGCTAGGTTTTTTGTGAATGGGCTTGGAGTACTCCAGTCAGAAATAGAACACCACATCAGAGTGTCTGCTCTGGCTCTTCCAAATTGCTTTCTCACCAGTCATCACAATTTTAGGGTGAGAGGTCGGCTGCCCAGTATGACAGCCAGGAGAGGGAGCACTGCATGTATTTATCCCATAAATTTCATAAACATATTTGAAAGTTTTCTATTGCAGATAAACTTCAAAGTACTGTACTTCAATCAGAGATGTATTAAAATAACTCTCATGATGATATTTTAAAATTATAATAAAATCCATAGGAGTGTATCCAAGGTACTATCATGAGTCATGTTTACTTAAAAATAAAATCTTATACAAAATGTATCAATGAGACACGGTATCATTTAGCGCTAAGATGCATCAATATTAAATATTAAATTACAAGTGAAGGTAAGAATCACTTTTCACTTTGTAGCTAGGAGTAGGAGACCTATTTCTTGGTTTCACTGCCCACACTATAAAACATGTAGGAATTCTAAGATTTTGGCTTAAAATAGACATTATTCTTTATTCAGTAAATATAATTGCGGGATACCTTGACTAGAAGCAGTAATGGGAGTCAGACTTTTCTGAAAGGAAAGACAATGTAAATATCAATGAGAACATCTTACAATAATTTCTAGTTTACTGCAGTAAAACGTGTTTCAATAAATAAGAATGCAAAGTGAACCCTGACTTGTTCTTTTGTGTGTAAACAAGATTAGCTATCTCTTCTGTTGATGTGTTCTGAAAAATAATAAAGTGGAAGAAAAAAAATTTTGGTTAATCCTCATGACTGTGAGTGATCACAAAAATTAAACAGTAGAGTACAAAAAAACTTGACTTTGCTCATTTACTTACTTGATTTGCCAAAATAAAAACAGCAGAACCACAATGTGTTCCAAGCTTTTGAAAAATAATACCTTATTAATTGTCATAATTTTTGTGGTTATGAAAAATTGTATTTTTACTAACATAATTCTAGAATTATTCAATTATAACCTTTTATTGAGAAACACAAAATAACCAAAGAAGTTGATGAATTAGTGTATAAGAATCTAATAAATTAATGAAGAACTAGTAATGGAAACTAAGAAGTTCTCTTCAGTTTCCTTTCACGGCAATAGTCACTATATTACTCCATTCCCGAGAAAAGCTGGCAAGGATAGGCCTTGTTATTTTCAGTTTCCTTTTGTAAACAATCTTTGTAGTTGACAGAAATAGACTAACCTACTCCGTAAATTTTCCATAAACATTCTCATTTTCATAAGCGTAATCCTCATCCTCTGTCTTATTTAAAATACTCATGTTCTGTATTGGTTTCAAATTCTGGAAGTGCAATGTGTTGAGTAAATTCCACTGAGTGATTTGTAGTTTCCATTAGCTCTATATACTTGTCCACACTGTCTCAAGTGATTTTTATTTTACTGCAATTGAAGAAAACCACATGGAAGGGATCTCAAATCAGTGCCCTTTGTTCCATACGTGCCATGTTCGTTTAGGAAGTGACAAGGGTTCAGATAAACCTCTTCCTCACTATAGAACAAAGATAGTACTAATTAAACCTACAAGGAAAGTTTGTATAAGGAAACATCATTGCCTGTGTAGGACACAGTCCTCGTTTCTTATCTAGCCAGTTGCATAATAAATCTTGTCCTCTGCCCTCCTCCACTGATGTTACGTGCTCCCATCTGAGTGAGCCTTGACTTGCTCTTCATTTTCATAAGAAAACAACACTGGTATCTTTTCTGCTGATTTGACTTGAAATATGGAACGGAATGTCCTCATAATGATCACCTGGTATCTGTAACTCTGGTCAACAAAAGTTATTAATCTCTCATTTTCATAACTACTTGTTGCTATCTTCATCGTTAGAGATAAATACATAAGAATCAAGGCGGATTTAACCTGTGACTGTCTCTCAAAGACAGAACAGCAAGAAATGAATCATATTTTCATTAAAACAAAAACTTCTTGGGGCTTGCTTACTGTAATCTTTGAAATAATCTATGTTGTTGAAATAATCTATGCCAAAATGCAGTTTATCCCTTTTATGTGATAATATAGTGTTATAATAAAACACCTTTGGCATGCTGGTCCTTATGATTGCTTAATATTGAAAAAAGATAATGCACAAAACTTGCCAAAAGAAATTTCGTTTAAAAATAATATTTGTCCTTACAGTTTTCTGTCATTAGTAATTTTTTTGAGGATTTAAAATAATTTATAAAAATCCTTCAAATGAGAAAACATTTCAAATGGTTCATAATAAACAATTATATATATATATATATATATATATATATATATATATATCTGAATTTTACCTATATCATCTTTCTAATTTCTTGGCTTGATTTACAACTTAGCTAATGTCATTTGCATCCCTGCCACTCCTGTCCAGTGTGACTGGTAGAAACAAGTGTATTGTGAAAAAGTACCATATGTCCAAGCAGGTAACATCAAGTTCAAACTTGGCCACTTTCTAGCACAGTGACCTTCACTTAATTTCTCCAAGCTTCCCTGCTTGTCAGCCTGAAATTAACAACAAGACTTTACCTCCCTAAATTCTAGCATTTCTAAAATACTTAACTATATGTAAGTGCTTTATAAGTTTCCAAGATCTAAATAAATTATTAGTTATCATTGCCTCACATGCAACATATGATGAAAAATGTTTAACATTTCTGTTTTCCTCGAGCTTCACCCCCAAAAAATGAATACATTTGTCCTGTAGGTGCTTCCAATTAATTTGGCTTCATTTCTGGTTTTCCAAGGCTGAAAATACAGATACAAGTGCCATGCTGTACATACACACGTCAGTGTGTGTGTGTGTGTGTGTGTGTGTGTGTGTGTGTGTGTGCACGCGATGTGCTTTAGGTGGGGTTCCAGACAGAGCAGCTATCTACTAATAACTTCAGATTAAGTAACACAATTAGCTCTGATCACCTTAACACTTATGTAGAATTTTTAAACCTTAACATTTTACTTCCAATTAAAGATAGATCGTTATAAGTCTGCAAAACCCCTGCTATAAAATTTGTAAGTTCTTTGTGATTAAAAGTAAACAACCTAAGTATTTTTAAAGTGGTTGAATAGCATTTAAAAAATTGAAAAGTAATATAAAGGTAAAAAACAACCTTCTACATATTTTCAAAAACTATATGTATTGCTCTTTTTTTATAATCTTGGAATGTTAATTTTTATCCTCCCTAAATGACAGGTTCAGTGATGCAAACATTTTCTACTAGTTACCAAACTATATAATGTCACTTTTAATGTTTTCTATTAATTTTTAAAGTTGAAGGAAGAAATACTTCATGTAGTCAATGTCTTGCAACAAAAACCTGTGAAGCGCCACCTATTGTTGAAAATGGGTCATTTCAAATTTCAATCAAAAAACTGCTTGAGTCTAAACATTTAGATATTCACAGTGATTACTGTTTTACACTCCTTTCTTTTTGTGCTGTAATACTGCCATAGAATTTGGGATTCTGGTTTTATAAAATTTCTAAATTTGAATGTATACATTCACTGCCTTTTGAGAGATTTAAAGACATAATACACTGTCCTCACAGAAAGTTACCATATCACTAAAGATAATAAAGTAGTAATGCTGACCTTTAACTAATCAATGAAAACTAACATATCTAACAATGTTTTCCCACTCAGAGTAGTTCTCAGGAAAACCTGTACAGTTCCAATAATGCCACAATTGCACAAACCATCCATTATATCCTTTACTGTAAATATCATCTGAGCTTATGTTACAGTACTTTGAAAGATCTTAATATTGTATATTTAAATATTGACTATTTCATATAATCTAAATATTGTTAAACACATCCTTTTGGAACATGAATTGGGTCTTGTTAACCCATAAGTCAACAGCAACCATGTATACTAAGATGGATGCCCAGGCTGAGTAAGTTTGGGAATAAAAATGAAAAAAAAACCCAAACTTTTTGTGTCAGTTACTAATAAATAGATTGAAAACCTTTCCAAGCTAAGAGGTTTAAAAATATTTTCAGTAGTGGCAATCTCTTTGAAGTAAATGCAATACTCTTGTAAAGTTGTACTTCGAAGGACACAATTTAATTTTTTTAAATGTATCAGTTATTTAATTAGGTTCTTAATAAGAAATTTAGAACACTAATTTATGAGGATAAATTTCATTTGTCGGAGCAAAAAACAGATCACAGGTAGCCCCGGGGCTGAGGAACAGCTTTGATTTTTGCGAAAATCTGTGAGCCCACCACTTT